GGTGGGGGGGGGACTGGAGGGAACTGGGAGGGGGGGGGGGGTGCTGGGAGCGGGACTGAGGGGGTTATACTGGGGGTTATACTGGTTATACTGGGGGAGGGACTGGTGGCCCTGTACTGGTTTCGTTGGTGACCCCATACTGGTTTTACTGGTGGCCCTGTACTGGTTTCACTGGTGGTCCCATACTGATTTCACTGGTTTTACTGGTTTCACTGGTTTCACTGTTTTCACTGGTGGTCCCATACTGATTTCATTGGTTTCACTGGTTTTACTGGTTTCACTGGTGGTCCCATACTGATTTCATTGGTTTCACTGGTTTCACTGGTTTCACTGGTTTTACTGGTTTCACTGGTTTCACTGGTTTCACTGGTGGTCCCATACTGATTTCATTGGTTTCACTGGTTTCACTGGTTTTACTGGTTTCACTGGTGGCCCTGCACTGGTTTCACTGGTGGTCCCGTACTGGTTTTACTGGTGGTCCCGTACTGGTTTCACTGGTGGTCCCGTACTGATTTTATTGGTTTTACTGGTTTCACTGGTGGCCCTGCACTGGTTTCACTGGTGGTCCCATACTGGTTTCACTGGTTTCACTGGTTTTACTGGTTTCACTGGTTTTACTGGTTTCACTGGTTTCTCTGACGTCACGCGTTTCCCCTGTGGCCCCGCCCCCCGCGCATGCGCAGTTGCCGCCATGGCGCCGCTCCCAGTCCATGTCCTTTACTGGTACCGGGGCCAAACTGGGGAGACCCCAAATGGGGGGGGTCCCCAAATCTGGGGAGGGTCCCCAAATCCGGGGGGTCCCTAAATCCGGGGGGGTCTCTGAGCCCGGGAGAGGCTCCAGTTCGAGGGAGGGTCCCCCAATTTTGGGTGGGGGTCCCCAAATCCCGGGTGGGAGTCCTCAATTTTGGGTGGGGGTCCCCAGTTTTGGGTGGGGGTCCCCAAATCCCGGGTGGGAGTCTTCAATTTTGGGTGGGGGTCCCCAGTTTTGGGTGAGGGTTCCAACTTTGGGTGGGGGTCCCCAAATCCCGGCTGGAAGTCCCCAATTCTGGGTGGGTGTCCCCAATTTTGGGGGGAGTCCCAATTTTGGGTGGGGGTCCCCAATCCCGGGTGGGAGTTCCTAATTTTGGGTGAGGGTCCTCAAATCCCGGGTGGGGGTCCCCAATTTTGGGTAAGGGTCCTGAGTTTTGGGGGGGTGTCCCCAATCCCGAGATGGGTCCCCAATTTTGGGTGGGGGTCCCCAATTCCGGGGGTGACCCCAATTCGGGGGGTGTCCCAAATTCTGGGTGGGGGTCCCCAGTCTCGAGAGGGGTCCCAGATTCTGGGGGTGTCCCAAATTTTGGGTAAGGGTCCCCAATTCCAGGAGGGGTCCCTAATTTTGGGTGGGTGTCCCCAGTTCTGGGGGTTGTCCTCAATTCTGGATGGGGGTCCCCAATTTTGGGTGGGGGTCCCCAAATCCCGGCTGGGGGTCCCCAATTTTGGGTGTGTGTCCCCAATTTTGGGTGGGGGCCCCCAAATCCCGGCTGGGGGTCCCCAATTTTGGGGGGGTCCCAATTTTGGGTGGGGGTCCCCAGTTTTGGGGGGGTCCCCATTTTCACCCCTCCCCTCCCCCCAGCGGAGCCTGAGGCTACAAACCCAAGGTGAGCCCCTCCCCCACCCCTTCCTGCCCCCTCCCCAAAATCCGGGGTGGGGACCCCAAAATGTGGGGGGGGTCCCCAAACCCCCGGCCCCAGCAGAGCCCCTCCCCGTCCCAGTTCGAGCAGCTGCGCCGGGAACTGGAGCGGCGCTTCCCGGGAGCGCTGGACGTGGTGGGTGGGGGACCCCGTTTGGGGCAAATTCCCGGGATTTCGGGGCGAATTCCCGGGATTTTGGGGCGTCTTGGGGTGAATTCCCGGGATTTCGGGGCGTCTTGGGGTTTTGGGGTGAATTCACGGAATTTTGGGGTGAATTCCCGGGATTTTGGGGGGGTTTTGGGGTGAATTCATGGGATTTTGGGGTGAATTCCCGGGATTTCAGGGCGTCTTGGGGTGAATTCC